TACGATTTAACCTCAAACGTTCCTTTATAACCTCAAAAAGTTTCATTTCTTAAATCTTAATCGTTTGGGAGAAAATAATTTTTTTCTTAACCTCAGTTTGAGTAAACGTCAAATTGAAAGGGTGATTTTAAAAAATTAATTTTAATCGAATCGATCGCCGTAGAATCTTGAAACTTGCTACGATTTAACCTCAAACGTTCCTTTATAACCTCAAAAAGTTTCATTTCTTAAATCTTAATCGTTTAGGAGAAAATAATTTTTTTCTTAACCTCACTTTGAGAAACGTCAAATTGAAAGGGTGATTTTAAAAAATTAATTTAAACGAATCGGTCGTCGTGGAATCTTGAAACTACGATTTAACCTCAAACGTTCCTTTATAACCTCAAAAAGTTTCGTTTCTTTAATCTTAATCGTTTCTGAGAAAATAATTTTTTTCTTAACCTCACTTTGAATAAACGTCAAATTGAAAGGGTGATTTTAAAAAATTAATTTAAACGAATCGGTCGTCGTGGAATCTTGAAACTTGCTACGATTTAACCGCAAACGTTCCTTTATAACCTCAAAAAGTTTCATTTCTTTAATCTTAATCGTTTGGGAGAAAATAATTTTTTTTTTAACCTCACTTTGAGAAACGTCAAATTGAAAGGGTGATTTTAAAAAATTAATTTTAATCGAATCGGTCGTCGTGGAATCTTGAAACTTGCTACGATTTAACCTCAAACGTTCCTTTGTAACCTCAAAAAGTTTCGTTTCTTTAATCTTAATCGTTTGGGAGAAAATAATTTTTTTCTTAACCTCACTTTGAGTAAACGTCAAATTGAAGGGGTGATTTTAAAAAATTAATTTTAATCGAATCGGTCGTCGTGGAATCTTGAAACTTGCTACGATTTAACCTCAAACGTTTCTTTATAACCTCAAAAAGTTTCGTTTCTTTAATCTTAATCGTTTGGGAGAAAATAATTTTTTTCTTAACCTCACTTTGAGAAACGTCAAATTGGAAGGGTGATTTTAAAAAATTAATTTTAACCGAATCGATCGTCGTGGAGTCTTGAAACTTGCTACGATTTAACCTCAAACGTTCCTTTATAACCTCAAAAAGTTTCGTTTCTTAAATCTTAATCGTTTTGTAGAAAATTAATTTTTTATCAAACGTCAAATAATTTTTAAAAATTGGTTTCAAAATTATATAAAAAAAGTTTCGTTTCATAAATTATGAGTTTTGAAGTTTTAAAGTTAACATTTTGTTATAAACTCAATTCAAAATTAAATCTATAATTTAATATTTAAAGGATAATTTTTAACAAACGTGAAGTTTTTGTTTATATTAAAAAATGTCAATTATGACGTTTAAGTACCAACTTCAAGTTTATAAAAAAGTTAAACTACAAATGTAATTTTGTCATTTCAAACGTGGAATTTTAAATTTAATTTTAGTGTTTGTTTATTGAAAAGTTTTTTAAATTGACCATTAACTTTAAAGTTAACTCAATTCAAGATAAAATCTAAAATAAATATAAAATAAAAATCATTTTTTATAAGCGTCAAGTTTTTGTTTATATTAAAAATGTCATTTATGACGTTTAATTACCAACTTCACGTTTAATTAAAAGGTTAACCTATGAAATGTAATAATTTTGACATTTCAAACGTCAAATTTTAAATTTAATCGTTTATTTATTGAAAAATTAAAATCTTTTGTGTAAACATTGTGAAACAATCAATAGTTCACTCACCAAATAAAAGTATTCTTGCATCAAACCTCTAAAAATAACCCTCAAAAAGCACCCCTTTCTTGAAGTAACCAAAGGAAACATCGAAACCAAGAAAATAGAAATAAAAACTTACCACCACTCTCACTTTTTCTTAGCCGAAATTGATTAAAATACAACAAATCGATTAAAAAAAAAGAAATATAAACAAACCTAATCAGAACCAACCCTTTTTAATCTTATTTTATTCTTTTTCATTGACAGGGAATAAACACGCACAGAAGAAAATCGCTTTGAAATGGTAAATCCAACATGAAAAGAAATAAAAAGATCGAATATGGATACTAACTGGGATGATGTAGAAAAAATACATAAAAAAACCGACGACGGAAGCTGCGTCGCTGCGAGTTTTTCGTCGCCCAACGCGGTTCCGTTCAAACCGACTGCGCGCTGCCTCGGCACGAACGCCACTGACTGGTCGGCCCCCAAAACGTCCGCTTTTAGAGGAGCTGCTGCGCTATCCTGCGACCTGCTACGGTGTGTGGTGGCTCGATCGCCCTCTCTTTCCTTCCCCAGTGTAACCTTCGAGCGTCCAAAGGCACGCTCTCTCGGTCGAATCGAATAACCCCGGGAATAAAGAGAGCGCCCCCTTTAAAAATAATGACAAAAAAGACTACAAAAAGTGTCAACATGGAAAAATAACAGGAAAGAAAGGAGAATTGGGTAAAATTGAATTTTTTTTTGGTTTCGTTTTTATTTTCGGTCTTATTACAGTTAATAACAATCATTTTTTAGAACAATTTTAAAAAATTCATGAAAAATTGATTTTTATAGGAATTGTTATGAAATTTATAAAACGGAAAGAAGAAACTCTTCTCTTTTTAATGATAAAATAAAATTTTCAAAGGTGAAAAGTTAATTGACATTTCGGCTGTCATTACATTTTTTTATGTCAATTCTCCTAATTTACAAAATCTCTAAAATCGTAATATCATCTGTCAATGTGAAACGTCAAATTTAAAATTTCATTACCTTAAAATCTTGTTCTATGTTTAGTGTTAGTTCTAGTTTTAGTTCAATGAAAGATATACAACAATCTAACGAATAACAACTATAACTACCACTAGCATTAGAACTAGAAACATTCGGGTTTAGCCGCACGTCTCTTAAGACGGCTAAACCCGAATGATTCTAGTTCTAGGTCTTGTGTTAGTTCTAGTGGCCGTGGTTTATTTAATATTAATTAAATTAGCTGTGAGATATTTCTTATTTCATTCCGATATCTCAATTCGTTTTTGAGATATGATGTGTTAAAGATGAATGTTTCAAATTTCCACGATTTAGGTTGAATTCAAAAAATCATAACTCCAACATTTTTGAAATTAATGAAATGAGGTGAATTAGCTTTGAGATGTTTCTTATTTCATCGCGATATCTCAATTCGTTTTTGAGATATGATTTGTTAAAGATGGATGTTTCAATTTTTCGCGATTTAGGTTGATTTCAAAAAATCATAACTCCAACATTTTTGAAATCAAAGAAACGAGCTTCGATTTATTTAATATTAATTAAATTAGCTTTGAGATGTTTCTTATTTCATCGCGATATCTCAATTCGTTTTTGAGATATGATTTGTTAAAGATGGATGTTTTAAATTTCCGCGATTTAGGTTGAATTCAAAAAATCATAACTCCAACATTTTTGAAATTAAAGAAATGAGCTTTGGCAACAATATCTAGCTTCCTCCAAGCAATTAGTAGTCTTTCCAACATATATTTAGGATTCTCAAAGTAATTAATAGTCTTTTGGAAACAGTATCTTGTCTTTCCAAGCAGATAATACTTTCTCCCAGCAATATTTAGTCTTCTCCAAGCAGGTCGTAATCTTTTCTAGTAGTATATAGCGCTCTGAAAGTAGTAACTAGTCTTATGGAAGCAGTATCTCGTCTTTCTAATCAGTTAGTAGTTGTTTGTTAGCACTATTTAGTCATTTTTAAGCAGATTGTAATCTTTTCCACCAGTATCTAGCATTGTGGAAGCAATAGGTAGCGTTTTGGAAAGCATAACTCTTTTCCAAACAATTACTAAAGTTTTTGAAAGCAATAAGTAGTCTTGGAAGCAGTATTCCAAGTAGGTCAAAACCTTTAACAGCAGTGTTTAGCGTTCTGGAAGCAATAGGTATTATTTTGAAAACAGTATCTAGTCTTTTCCAAATAAGTTGTGGTCTTTTTCTGCAGTATTTAGCTTTTTAGCAGCAGTAGGTAACTTTTTGAAATAGTATTTCCTCTTTCCAAGCAGTTTTTAGCCTTTTATTAGCAGTATTTAATCTTCTAATAGCAATAATTAGTCGTTTGCCAACGATATCTAGCATTCAAGTTAAAGAGGGGAATAGATTTTAGGTTATCTTTAGTTTATAGATGGTAAACAACGACATTTTAGCCGTTGTGCGTCCAAAATCTAAGAAATAGCCGTATTTCACCCGAGCTATACGTTTCAATCAAATGTGCTGCGAAAATATATGGTCGATGACGTCACGTCGAAACTTTAAAGTGATTTTTTGTAATTCGCGACGATAATTTAAGTTATTACAGTACTCAAACGGGTTTTAGTAACATTTTGTGGAACCAGTTCAAGTTGGTTACATTGGGTCATTAATTTTTCTAGTTGTCAATGTCACAATTTTTGTCTATGGATGTTTAAACACGTTCTTAGCGTTGAACTTGAGCAATTTCTCTTATTTTAAGTTTGACATTTTGTGTTTTGACAATTTCTAATTGTCAATTCAAATTTGCTATTTTCAAGCGTTACGTTGTTACCAACCGCTAGATACCTATTCCCCTACATTGTCAAAATTTATTTTATTTTTGTTAAAAAAAAAGGATAAAAACGCGAATTACAAAAAATAGCATAAAAATCACGTTTCGTAAGACTTAAAGCACTCATTCATTAAAAAACTCGTAAAATAATCATTAATTTCTGACAATGACAAGTAAGATGTAAACAAAGCCAATTTTTAGGTTATAAACAAGTTTGTGGTTATGATTGTTTTCGTTGATTTTTGTGGCGAAAAATGGGTTTATTTCACCCCCTTTATACATATACATATAAAAAAAGTTGTTTTTAATAAGAATTGGGTCAATTAGGAGATCTTAAATAGTGGAGGAGTAAAATATGGTGAAAATTGAGAAAAAATTTTAAGGTTAAGAAAGAAGAATTTATCTTTGGTATGTAAAAAGAGTGTGAAAATTATAAAAGAAACTAATGATTAAGATGATTCGAGTTAAATAATTAATTTCCTTGAATAACTCATCCAATTTATATTAAAAGAAACCTTTAAATCACCTTTATCTATAATTGACAATTTCTAATTGGATAAATTTCTATTTTACAGCAAATTAAGTCGGATAAAGAAAATGGAGCAACTTTTTTCTTGTGGTGAGTCAAAACTTTTTTTATTAACAAACACTTCTGTGTGGTCATAACACGTTCAAATTGCAATTTCAAAGTCATAAAATAATGAAAGCGTCATAAAGTTCGACCAATACGTGTTTAATGTTTATTTAAAAATGATTTATTTTATTTATTATTGCTTATTTATTGTACTTATTTTTAACAAAGCTGTTTATGTCAATCTAATTCCGATTTATAACCCTACGGTAGTAACAAGTTAACTTTATCAGGTGATATTTCACACTTTCACCTTTTTTAACAATCTCTTTTATTTTTATATATTTTTTTTATCGTTATAAACGAATCGCGAACTTTAAGCTCATTCCCTTTAACTCAGTTTATTCTCATTGTGCATTTAGGTCTCGTTTTGAATTAGCTTCATCTGTTGAACTTTACTAAATACAACAAAGTTTCCTCATTCTCGCTCCCATCAATAAGTTAAACAACTACGTTACCACCACCAATTTCCCCCACGTTTTCAACAACCCCCTTTGTTTTCCCTTTAAAGACAATAAGCGAAGTTTAACAATCCCCCGGGGGATGTTAGGGGGCAATAATTAACTAAACGAATTAGAATAGAGGCTTTAATTGAGAAAGAAATAAAGGAAAGAAGTTATATAATTTTATAATTAAGTAAAATCACAAAAAAAATCTTAAATTTATATACAACAACCAAAAAAAAAAAGGATTTAAAATATTTTTTGAGGTTATGTTTTGTTGGTTAAGTACTAAATTCAAATTTTAAGGGTGGGATGTATCTTAGGGCATCGTTCATGTAACTTTTCGGATCATCGAGGTCTTTTATGATTGTTTTTAAAGTCGTTAAAACTTTTTCTTGCTGCACTTCTCTTCGGTCAACGATTTTCGTGAAGATTTGTTTCATTTGATTCGATGAGGTTCCTTTGGAGAATTCAGTTAAATCTTTTAAAACATTTGTGGTGTAACCCTACAAAAAAAACAACATTAAAATTAATATAACTTAAGTTTAAATATAAAATAAATGTATTAGGTTATGTATCAAACCTGAACTTAGCTACATTTAGAAATAACCTCAAAATTAGAATTTTTTTTTAATTTTAGGTTGGTAGTACTTTAGATCAGCTGTCATCCCTTTTATTTATTTCTTGTCATCAGTTTTGTGTTGGTTTTTAGATTTTTCATCACATCTCCGCCTTATTTTATTTAAACACTGCTTATTTTAATCGGAGTTACTTATTTTGAAGTATTTTGAAGAATCTTTATAAGAAAATTAATTGAAGAATTAAGATCATAAAGAACGTTTAATTTTATGGAAAACTAAATTTGTACTCAAATAAATCATATAATCAATGATTTAGTGAAGAATTAAATGAAATAACACCGATAATGAAGACAATTTAGGATGGGTTTAATGATTAAGACAAAAATTAATCAGAGATGAAACAAAATTGAGGTTTTTCTTTACATTTAGCACTTAAAATGTTAAACGAATCTCGTTTCATTAATATAAAGTGATGTAAGGATATTTTTTAAATATTTTGACATTTTGTTTAAAAGCACTTCGATATTTATGATAGTTCATAGAATTATTTTTGGTCAGATTACCCAAAAAAGATTTTTTTTGAGATTTTACCATTCAAATTTAAAATCTAGACTAAAACTTATTTAAAACGAGTCAACAAACACAAGTTATCTTTAAAATTAGCTGAAATATGATAATTTTAATTTCTATTTTTAGGTTATGTTTCAACCCTGAATATAGCCTCAAAATTAGAATTATAATTTTAGGTTGGTAGCCCTTCAGATCAGCTGTCATGTTTATTTCTAACCTGTCATTGTCAGATTTGTGTTGGTTTTTAGATTTTTCATATTTTTCCCCTTTATTTTATTTAAACATTGCCTATTTTAATCGGAGTTACTTACTTTGAAGTATTTCAAAGAATCTTTTGAAGAAAATTAATTGAAAGAATTAAGATCATAAAGAACGTTCAATTTTATGGAACATTAAAGCAAGGTTTGTACTCAAATAAATTATAAAATCAAAGATTTAGTGAAGAATTAAATGAAATCACGCCGATAATGAAGACAATTTAGGATGGGTTTAATGATTAAGGCAAAAATTAATCAGAGATGAAACAAAATTGAGATTATTTCTCTATTATTAGCACATAAAATGTTTAAAGAATCTCGTTTAGTTAATATAAAGTAGTGTAAAGGATATTTTTTATGATTTTGACATTTCATTTAAAAGCACTTGGATTTTATGATTTTCTATAGAGTCATTTTTCGTCACATGTTTCTAAAAAAAGGTTTTTTTTTTATCTTTTCCATACAAATTTTAAAAACTAGATTAAAAGTTATTTAAAAAAAGTCAACAAAAACAAATTATCTTTAAAATTAGCTGAGATATGATTTAATTTATATTTATTGGTTATGTTTCAACTCTGAATTTAGCTACTTTTTGGGGCTAACCTCAAAATTAGAATTATAATTTTAGGTTGGTAGCCCTTTAGATCAACTGTCATGTTTAATTCTAACCTGTCATTGTCAGATTTGTGTTGATTTTTAAATTTTTCATTATTTTTCACCTTTATTTTATTTAAACACTGCCTATTTTAATCGAAGTTACTTACTTTGAAGTATTTCAAAGAATCTTTTGAAGAAAATTAATTGAAAAATTAAGATCATAAAGAATTTATTTTATGGAAAACAACATTAAAGCAAGGTTTGTACTCAAATAAATTATAAAATCAAAGATTTAGTGAAGAATTAAATGAAATTACGCCGATAATGAAGATAATTTAGGATGGGTTTAATAATNAACATTAAAGCAAGGTTTGTACTCAAATAAATTATAAAATCAAAGATTTAGTGAAGAATTAAATGAAATCACGCCGATAATGAAGACAATTTAGGATTAGTTTAATGATTAAGACAAAAATTAATCAGAGTTGAAACAAAATTGAGGTTATTTCATTACTTTTAGCACATAAAATGTTTAAAGAATCTCGTTTAGTTAATATAAAGTGGTGTAAAGGATATTTTTAAAGATTTTGACATTTCATTTAAAAGCACTCGGATATTTATGATTTTCCGTAGCCTCATTTTTCGTCCGATGTTTCCAAAAAAAGCTTTTTTTTTAACTTTTCCATACAAATTTTAAAATCTAGATTAAAAGTTATTTAAAAAAAGTCAACAAAAACAAATTATCTTTAAAATTAGCTGAGATATGATAATTTTAATTCATGTTTATAGGTTATGTTTCAACTCTGAATTTAGTTACTTTTTGGGGCTAACCTCAAAATTAGAATTATAATTTTAGGTTGGTAGCCCTTTAGATCAGCTGTCATGTTTATTTCTAACCTGTCATTGTCAGATTTGTGTTGGTTTTTAGATTTTTCATCATTTTTTCCCTTTATTTTATTTAAACATTGCCTATTTTAATCGGAGTTACTTACTTTGACGTATTTTAAAGAATCTTTTGAAGAAAATTAATTGAAAAATTAAGATCATAAAGAATTTATTTTATGGAAAACAACATTAAAGCAAGGTTTGTACTCAAATAAATTATAAAATCAAAGATTGATTGAAGAATGAAATGAAATCACGACGATAATGAAGATAATTTAGGATGGGTTTAATGATTAAGACAAAAATTAATCAGAGATGAAACAAAATTGAGGTTATTTCTCTACTTTTAGCACATAAAATGTTAAACGAATCTCGTTTAGTTAATATAAAGTGGTGTAAAGGATATTAGCCAAAAATATTGACATTTCATTTAAAAGCAATAAAATATTTATGATTTTCTATAGAATCATTTTTCGTCCGATTGCCCAAAAAAGATTTTTTTTTTGACACTTTTTCACTCAAATTTAAAATGTAGACTAAAAATTATTTTAAAAAGTCAACAAACACAAATTGTCTTTAAAATTAGCTGAGATATGATAATTTTAATTTCTATTTTTAGGTTATGTTTCAAACCTGAACTTAGCCAGTTTTAGGGGTAACCTCAAAATTAGAATTATAACTTAATTTTAAGTTGGCAGTCCTTTAGATCAGCTGTCACCCCTTTAGTTTATTTCTAACCTGTCATTGTCAGGTTTGTGTTGGTTTTTAGATTTTTCATCATTTTGCCGTTTTATTTTGTTTTAAACACGGCCAATTTTAATCGGAGTTACTTATTTGAAGTATTTCGAAGAATCTTTTTAAGAAAATTTAGTGAAGAATTAAGATCATAAAGAACGTTTAATTTTATGGAAAAGAACATTAAAAAAAGGGTTAGTGAAGAATTAAATAAAATCACTCCGATAATGAAGACAGAATTGAGGTTATTTCTCTACATTTAGCACTTAAAATGTTAAACGAATGTTGTTTGGTTAATATAAAGTGGTGTAAAGAATATTTTTTTTAAATTTTGACATTCAAGCTTTTTTTTTGTGATTTTTCCGTTTAAATGTAAAATGTTGACTAAAACTAATTTGAAAAAAAGTCAACAANAGATCATAAAGAATTTATTTTATGGAAAACAACATTAAAGCAAGGTTTGTACTCAAATAAATTATAAAATCAAAGATTTAGTGAAGAATTAAATGAAATTACGCCGATAATGAAGATAATTTAGGATGGGTTTAATAATTAAGGCAAAAACTGATCAAATATGAAACGATATTGAGGTTATTTCTCTACTTTTAGCATTTAAAGTGTTAAACAAATCTCGTTTAGTTAATATAAAGTGATGTAAAGGATATTAGCCAAAAATTTTGACATTTCATTTAAAAGCGATCAAATATTTATAATTTTCTGTAGAATCATTTTTCGTCCGATTGTCCAAAAAAAATTTTTTTTTGGGACTTGTACACTAAAAATTATTTTAAAAAGTCAACAAACACAAATTGTCGTTAAAATTAGCTGAGATATGATAATTTTAATTTCTATTTTTAGGTTATGTTTCAAACCTGAACTTAGCCAGTTTTAGGGGTAACCTCAAAATTAGGATTATAATTTTAGGTTGGTAGCCCTTTAGATCAGCTGTCATGTTTATTTCTAACCTGTCATTGTCAGATTTGTGTTGATTTTTAAATTTTTCATTATTTTTCACCTTTATTTTATTTAAACACTGCCTATTTTAATCGGAGTTACTTATTTTGAAGTATTTCGAAGAATCTTTAGAAGAAAATTAATTGAAGAATTAAGATGAAGAAAAGAACGTTTAATTTTATGGAAAACAACATTAAAACAAGGTTTGTACTCAAATAAACTATATAATCAAAGATTTAGTGAAGAATTAGGTTATATCAGGTCGATAATGAAGATAATTTAGAATGGGTTTAACGATTAAGACAAAAATTGATCGGAGTTGAAACGAAATTGANTAATATAAAGTGGTGTAAAGAATATTTTTTTTAAATTTTGACATTCAAGCTTTTTTTTTGTGGTTTTTCCGTTTAAATGTAAAATGTTGACTAAAACTAATTTGAAAAAAGTCAACAAATACAGATTGTCTTTAAAATTAGCTGAGATATAATTTTAATTTCTATTTTTAGGTTATGTTTCAAACCTGAACTTAGCTAGTTTTAGGGGCAACCTCAAAATTAGGATTATAATTTTAGGTTGGTAGCCCTTCAGATCAGCTGTCATCCCTTTAGTTTATTTTACAACTTGTTATTGTCAAATTTTTGTTGGTTTTTTAGTTTTTTAATCATTTCTTCGCTTTATTTTATTAAAACACGACTTCTTTTAATCGGAGCAATTTATTTTGAAGTAATTTGAAGAATCTTTTGAAGAAAATTAATTGAAGAATTAAAGATCATAAAGAACTTTTAATTTTGTGGAAAACAACATTAAATAGGGGTTTGTACTGAAATAAAGCATACAATCAAAGAGTTAGTGAAGAATTAAATGAAATCACGCCGATAATGAAGATAATTTACGATGGGATTGACTATTAAGATGAAAATTAATCGGAGTTGGAACAAAATTGAGGCTATTTCTCTACCTTTAGAACTTAAAATGTTAAACGAATCTTGTTTAATTAATATAAAGTGATGGAAAGGGTGTTTTTTAAAAATTTTGACATNCGCTTTATTTTATTAAAACACGACTTCTTTTAATCGCAGCAATTTATTTTGAAGTAATTCGAAGAATCTTTTGAAGAAAATTAATTGAAGTAATAAAGAACGTTTAATTTTATGGAAAACAACATTAAAGAGGGGTTTGCACTGAAATAAAGCATGAAATCAAAGATTTACTGAAGAATTAAATGAAATCACGCCGATAATGAAGATAATTTACGATGGGATTGACTATTAAGATGAAATGTAATGTATCTGTAATACAATTGTAATATAACTACAATGTAATAACAATCACTATCTTGTTATAACTTCAAATAATAATCTAATTAAGAAATTTAAGATTAAAATAGAGTAACCATAAGTAGATAACTAAGAAAACATCCGTTAAATGTCATTTAAATATCAAGAACAAACAATTGATCACCAAAAGACGAAAACAATTAAGAACGAACTTTGGTAATTCTCGTTACTTAATGATTATTCTAATCGTTTCGACTTAATATAAAAGATCACGAAATTTGTAAAACCGTATTATTAACAGTATCAAACTACAACCGAAAAGATCACCATACTCTGTACTAACCCCTTCGCCTGGAGAAAATAAAGATAGTCAAGTAAGAAAATTGTGTTTATCTTCCTACNCAAGGTTTGTACTCAAATAAACTATATAATCAAAGATTTAGTGAAGAATTAGGTTATATCAGGTCGATAATGAAGATAATTTAGAATGGGTTTAACGATTAAGACAAAAATTGATCGGAGTTGAAACGAAATTGAGGTTATTTCTCTAATTTTAGCACTTAAAATGTTAAATGATAATCTCGTTTAATTAATATAGTGATGGAAAGGATATTTTTTTAAAGTTTTGTCATTTCATTTAAAAACACTCCAATATTTATGGTTCTCCGTAAACTCATTTTTCGTCTGGTTGCTCAAAAAATAATTTGTTTTTGAGATTTTTCCGTTCAAATTAAAATCTAGATTAAAAGTTATTTAAAACAAATCTTTAAAATTAGCTAAAATATGATAATTTTAATTTCTATTTTTAGGTTATGTTTCAACCATGAATATAGCCTCAAAATTAGAATTATAATTTTAGGTTGGTAGCCCTTCAGATCAGCTGTCATGTCATCCCTTTAGTTTATTTCTATCTTGTCATTGTTAAATTTGTGTTGGTTTTTATATTTTTCATCATTTCGCCGCTTTATTTTATTTAAACGCTGCATATTTTAATCGGAGTTACTTACTTTGAAGTATTTCGAAGAATCTTTAAAAGAAAATTAATTGAAGAAATAATTTTATGGAAATCAACATTAAAGCAAGGTTTGTACTCAAATAAATCATATAATTAAAGATTTAGTGAAGAATTAGATGATATCAGGCTGATAATTTAGACAGCACTCTGATTTTTATGGATCTCCGTTGACTCATTTTTAATCCGATTGCCCAAAAAAACTTTTTTTTTAAGACTTTTCCATTCAAATTTTAAAATCTTGGTTAAAAGTTATTTAAAAAAAATTAACAATAACAAATTATCTTTAAAATACCTGAATTATGATTAATTTAGACATTTTTTGGAGTTAACCTCAAAATTAGAATTATAATTTTAGGTTGGTACCCCTTCAGATCAGCTGTCATTGTCAGAATTGTTTTGATTTTTAGATTTTTCATCATTTCGCCGCTTTATTTTATTTAAACACGACCTATTTTAATCGGAATTGTTTATTTTGAAGTATTTCGAAGAATCTTTAGAAGAAAATTAATTGAATTAAGACCATAAAGAATTTTATGGTTCTTCGTTGACTCATATTTCGTCCGATTTCCCAAAAAATAATTTTTTTTTTAGATTTTTCCGTTCAATTTTAAAATATAGACTAAATCATCGTTAAAATTAGCCGGGATAACTTTTCATTTCTATTTTTAGGTTATGTTTCAAACCTGAAGTTAGCTACTTTTAGAGGTTAATGTCATTTTGACGTTTTTAGATTTTAATTAAAATAAAAAATTACCGCATATTTGTTCATTCCTAATTTTTTCGCCTCCTTATTCAAAGAATCATATAACGATAACAATGAGACGTAAGCTTTCGGTGGGGGAGGTTTCTTTTTTCTCAAAAAATTCGAATTCTCCTCGTTTNCAACATTAAAGCAAGGTTTGTACTCAAATAAATCATATAATTAAAGATTTAGTGAAGAATTAGATGATATCAGGCTGATAATTTAGACAGCACTCTGATTTTTATGGATCTCCGTTGACTCATTTTTCGTCCGATTGCCCAAAAAAACTTTTTTTTTAAGACTTTTCCATTCAAATTTTAAAATCTTGATTAAAAGTTATTAAAAAAAAAATTAACAATAACAAATTATCTTTAAAATACCTGAATTATGATTAATTTAGACATTTTTTTGAGTTAACCTCAAAATTAGAATTATAATTTTAGGTTGGTACCCCTTCAGATCAGCTGTCATTGTCAGAATTGTGTTGATTTTTAAACATTTCACCACTTCACCGCATTAAAACACGAAAAAACGAAATAGGAAAAGCGGAATTGCAAATATTGAAAAAAATCGAAAAAACAAAAGAAAAAAAATAACGAAAATAAAAAAATAAAGAATTCTACGGTGACTCATAGACCCACAGATCGCCCAAAAAACAAAAAAATAATTAGATTTTTACATTCAAACGTAAAATAGAAAAAAAAAAACCAAAAAAACGAGAAAAGAAAACGGGACAACTCTACATTTAGATTATGAGGCAAACCTGAAAACAGCAACTTAGAGACGTTAAAAGGCAAATGGAAGTTTGAAAATAAAAAAATTTAATTAAAATAAAAAATTACCGCATATTTGTTCATTCCTAATTTTTTCGCCTCCTTATTCAAAGAATCATATAACGATAACAATGAGACGTAAGCTTTCGGTGGGGGAGGTTTCTTTTTTCTCAAAAAATTCGAATTCTCCTCGTTTAAATTTTCAAAATCGTCGTAATCTTTCAAAAATCGTTCGACTTTCTCTTGATCGCTCAATCCTGAATCGATCTCACCGATTCCATTAACTTTATCGTACAAATCTTTGTGAATGCCCCCAAAGTACTCCTCCCCGCCGCCGTTTCCACTTTTGTTAGCTTTACTTCCGGTTTGTCTCGTCGAATGGACCCAACTTTTGTAAGTATTCCCCAAATACGAGCCTCGATAGCGATTTTCCCCCGATAATTTGTAATAAAAACTTGGTGGTTTATTCAAAATTAATTCTTGGGGATTTAAAACGGGGTTGGGCGCGAAAATTCCTGGGCGATGAGACGATGTAGATGGCGCTGATTCGGTGGGTGTAATTTCCGTGGCGGGAATTTCGTATTTCATTAATTCGGTGACGTGGGATATTAATTGCAAACTTGCTGGAACGAAGGAGTCTAAAAACATGGGGTTTTGATCGACTCGTGGTGGTCCGTGGGGATTTAAAACTTGACCAAAAATCTAAAAAAAAAATTGATTCAAACCTAACCTTACTTTTATTAAATGTCAGATTAAACGTCAAAAATAATTTCGAATAAAACAGATTTTTTAACGTTTTGAATGTGTTAATAACTGTAAAATAATTTCCTACCTGTTGAAAACTGGCCGCGAAGAAGGTCAGTAGTACGCGGTGTTTAAATAAAGAGAAAGACATCGCTTCGTCGTTAACTTCTTGATTGCTTCGCGGAGCTCGGGATACTAACAACAAAATTGTTTAACGCGCTCATTTAATCCGAACTCAAGAACCAGTCCAACACGACATTTAAACTACTTATAGCTGGCCCCAAAAAAAAATCGTTAATTTTCTTATTATCACAACGTTTAAATCGTTACTAAATTAACTTCAAATTCATCTAATAAATCTACAAATAAAAAAAAAATGATTATATTATTATTAAAAATGAAAATGTAGTCTCTTTTAGACCACCTTTAAATAACTCACAACAATAACGATCATAATATTATTCAAAAGATCTCGCAGAAGCAAGTTTTTTCGTTTTATTTTTATTTGATTATTTTTTTTTTTCGGTCCTGGTCATCCGAAAACTTGTCCGGCGCGAACGAAAGTGATTCTTATGTCGGTACTTTTATGTAAATCCGACCTTGAGGTGTTATTGAACTTCTTAATAGAGGTGATTTTTCTAAAAATATAACAAATCTTTATATTTGTAAGAATTTTCCCCTTAAATGTATCAATTTTAGATTTTTTTAATTGCAAATACCTCCAAAAAATAAATCGTTATTAAATTAACACAATTATTGAACACTGACATTGACAGGAGGAATAATTCAAAGTGACAGCTAAAAATAAAAAGGCTACCAACCTAAAAATTATTTTAATTTTGTTATTTATTTTGACAAATTTAATTAATTAATTTTAAACTCGAAAAAGAAATGTAATTTTTGATTCTCAACAAAAAACTAACTAAATTAACGATTAAAATTATGCCACGATTTACAGAAACACCTGTATAAGGAGCTCTTGGTGCCAACATTAAAGAATTCCATGGAAAAGTTTCTTGGATTTACTGGATTTTCTAATAATTATTATTAATTTAATGTAATTTTGCAATCAGCAACACAATATACGACTGTGTATGCTTGGTTGCATATTTCATAAATAAGAAAATTAATAAAATGTATTGTTAAATATTAAATAAATGTAAAAATTTATTCTTAATTGTCAAATTAAGTGTATTTAAAAAAAAAAGACAATAGATTGTTATATTTTTTATACCTATAAGAGAGTGCAGTAGAATTGGATGTTTATTTTTGAATAAATTTTGCTTAAAAATTTCAAAATGTTTCCTTGAATGACCCCTAATTGACCTTGACTTAGTTAAAATAAAAATTTTTCTCGACACTTTGAGGATATCACCTTGAGTCCACCTTGAATGACCCCTAAATAACCTTGACCCAGTTAAAATGAAAATTTTTCTCGAAACTTTGAGGATGTCTCCTTGAGTTCACCTTGAACGACCTCTAAATGACCTTGACCCAGTTAAAATGAAAATTTTTCTCGAAACTTTGAGGATGTCTCCTTGAGTTCACCTTGAACGACCTCTAAATGACATTGACGAAGGTAAACGTGAGTAAGAAATTATGCGATCTTGATACAAATCGTAATTGGAAAATGAAATTTTCGGTTTTTCTATTAAGAACACATCAAACCGAGGAAGTAAATTAAAATACCTTTTAATTAATAATAATTTGAGTGAATTTAAATGTAAAATAAATAGTTTATTAGGTTGAAGAAATAAAAATCGTTTTTTTTTTAACAATTTTTTTTATTGATATAAATTAGTATTTGTACAGATTTCTATTTTATCAACATATTTTACAGTTTCCTGTAATCGGTATTATCAAAACAGTAAATACAAAACCCTTCTTTATAGGTATTACTAATATTAGTTACAGAAACAAAAATGAAATGTGTAATTAAAAAACATTCTAAAAAACAAATTAGATAAACTTCAAAATTCACGGAATATTATTAACACGAAATATAATTATTTAAATACACTCCCTTCTTTTATAAACAAATCAATTTTAACTTTATTCAACTAGTTAATTGTTTAAAAACATTTCTTTGTGTAAAAATGAGATTAATAATTGTTTTAATCACTCTCACCAGTTCAACGATTTAAAATCCTAGCGTTATGAATTATTTAAATCATCCAAATAACGCTTTAACACCACAGCAAATTCTTCAAAAGCTGAAACATAAATTAAAATAAAAACTTACAAAGATATATTTGTGAAGAAAAGTAACAAATTTTATTGCGATACGTTTTAATAAATTGAGGTTATGTTGTATTAATTACCTTCGTTGTTGAATCCGGTTTCTTCAAAATTGGTATGAAATCGCCCACTTTTAATTAAATAAGTGTAATATAGCACTTATTTTAATTGTTATTGCGGTTTTATCAACAAAATATAACCTCAGATTTAGATTAATAGGTGAAATGTCACTTTTTGAGTCGGTAATGTAGATAACGTAATGGAGTCGATAAAGTAGACTTCGTTTATATCGCAAAATTAAATTATTAATTGATTGACTTGCATTTTATTATTATAAACAAATCAAATTCAACTTTACTTTAAACCACATTATCTTTTTAAGTTTCTAAATTATTAATTTTAAAAGTGAGTTTAAAAATGACGAACTCAACTTTGCAATATTTCAGTTGGTAATAAAAAAAATAAATGTCAATTTCAAGTAACTAAAAATATTTCTCTTTCCGATGGGTTGATATGTTAAGATTAATAAATTTCGTGTAATTAAGATATATTGCAAGTATTAATTTTTTATTATTATTAATTTTGAAAGTGAGGTTAAGATAATTTTTGAGAGGTTATTGTTGTCATATTCGGACTGATTCGGGCAGGATGACCAATCTAAATTAATATTCAAGTTAAAAAATCCCTAAAAATTATTTAATTTTATATAATTATAAAAATAAGTTATCTACATAAAAATTTAAAACGCGAATATTTTTAACTTTTATCGATTCGATTCGATCCTCTCCTCCCACTAAAATACTCTTCGATTTCACTCAAAGTCTTTCCTTTAGTCTCTGGCAAACAAGTAATAATAAAAATCGTTCCAATAAAGCTCATAACACCATAAAAGCAAAAGACTCCATAATTTCCCATCGACTTCAACATAGTGGGGTAGGATTTTAAAATAATAAAATTAAAACCATACGCTAAACACGTCACTAAGCCAGTCGCTAATCCGCGAATTTTTGTGGGAAAAACCTCGGCTGCCATCGCAAAAGGAACCGTTAAAAACCCCAAAGTTGTTGTAAAAAAGTAAAAAACCAACAAAAAAATAGGTAACCAAGATAATTTTGTTTTTAAATCGTCCCCAATAATGCCTAAATGAATCAAGTATAAATAAATAAACAAAGTTATCATACAAAGCGTCATCCCAACGCCGGAAATAATCGATGGGGGGCGATGCCCCAATTTCTTACTTATCGAACTTATCAAAATCGCCCCAGCTAAACGAGTCGAAGCGATTAAAACGATAATTAAATAAGGATCCGTCGAAATAACACCCGCCTCTTTAACAATATCAATCGCGTAAAAAATAATTACAAAAGTCCCCGAAAATTGCAAAAAAAAGAAATACGATAACACGATTACAAACGGTTTATAACAAGCGGGTTTTTGAAAGTGACGAATTTTTTTCAAAACGGAACGTAAAAACGACGATTTTTTATTATTGGGATTTCGAGCGAGATTTTGATCTCGATTTCCGATTAACGCAAGAATTTCATCCTGGACTAATCCGGTCGTTTCGCCCAACCCGAAGATTTTCGTTAAATTCTTTTTGGCTTCGAGATCCATGTTTTTCGCGATCAACCATTGCGGACTTTCCGGTAGAAAAAACGTCGTTATCGTCATTGATATCACGGGAAAAATCGAGGTGATTAACGATATTTTCGACCAATTACTCTAAAATGTAAACAATAATAAAGATTGATTTGTTTTAAATTATTATCTTACTGGCATTAGAAATCCTAAAAAATAAACGACCAAAATTCCTAACGAAAAGAAGATTGCAGAGGCTGTTGTGAACATCCCCCTTAATTTAGGGGATGATATTTCCGCCATATAAACGGCCGCCGGCATGCTGGCTAATCCGGTTGATAATCCGGTGATTACCCGGCCGATTAATAACACGGAATAAAAGGAGTTTGGAAAATTCGGGGCTAAAGTGATGATGACCCATCCGATGAATGTGACGACGTTGACCGTTAATAAACTAACTTTTCTCCCAAATTTATCCGAAATTGGGCCACTTAAGAAGCAACCGATTGGTGTTGAAATTGTTGCAATACTCACTAAATTAAAAAAAAAAATAAATAAATAATTATAAATTACAAATTTGAATTAATTTAATTAATAAACTTACCGAACCACGATGATTGATCTTTATCTAAAAAATACATCGATTTAGGATCGGTGAGCCCCGGAAGCGCAACTGCTGAGTACCCGAGGGACATGCTCGGTGCTATTGTGGTAAAGTAAGCGGTTAATCCGAAAATGATCTAGAAATTAATAACTTCGTTGGTGTTTTCGATTAAGAAATTAAAAATGATTTAATTTGAGCCCAAACTCGATGGGGTTATCTCAAAAAATACGATTTGAGCGTAAATAGATATAGATAACCGCCATTTTGGAAATAAAATTATGATTTAAATAATGTTTTCTTGTAATATATAAAAAATGGTTTAATTTGAGCCCAAACTCGATGGGGTTATCTCAAAAAATGCGATTTCGAAATAAAATAGATATAGATAACCGCCATTTTGGAAATAAAATTATGATTTAAATGATGTTTTCTTGAAAGACATAAAAAATGATTTAATTTAAGCCCAAGCTGGATGGGGTTATCTCAAAAATGCGATTTCAACCTAAAATAGATATAGATAACCGCCATTTTGGAAATAAAAATACGATTTAAATAATGTTTTCTTGTAATATATAAAAAATGGTTTAATTTGAGCCCAAACTCGATGGGGTTATCTCAAAAAATGCGATTTCAACCTAAAATAGATATAGATAACCGCCATTTTGGAAATAAAATTATGATTTAAATGATGTTTTCTTGTAAGATATAAAAAATGGTTTAATTTGAACCCAAACTCGATGGGATTATCTCAAAAAATGCGATTTCGAAATAAAATAGATATAGATAACCGCCATTTTGGAAATAAAATTATGATTTAAATGATGTTTTCTTGAAAGACATAAAAAATGATTTAATTTGAGCTCAAACTCGATGGGGTTATCTCAAAAACTGCGATTTCAACATAAAATAGATATAGATAACCGCCATTTTGGAAATAAAAATACGATTTATATAATGTTTTCTTGTAATATATAAAAAATGGTTTAATTTGAGCCCAAACTCGATGGGGTTATCTCAAAAAATGCGATTTTAACCTAAAATAGATATAGATAACCGCCATTTTAGAAATAAAAATACGATTTGAATAATGTTTTCTTGAAAGACATAAAAAATGATTTAATTTGAGCTCAAACTTGATGGGGTTATCTCAAAAAATTCGATTTCAACATAAAATAGATATAGATAACCGCCATTTTGGAAATAAAATTATGATTTAAATGATGTTTTCTTGAAAGACATAAAAAATGATTTAATTTGAGCTCAAACTCGATGGGGTTATCTCAAAAAATGCGATTTCAACCTAAAATAGATATAGATAACCGCCATTTTGGAAATAAAACTATGATTTAAATAATGTTTTCTTGAAAGATATAAAAAATGATTTAATTTGAGTCCAAACTCGATGGGGTTATCTCAAAAAATACGATTTGAGCGTAAATAGATATAGATAATCGCCATTTTGGAAATAAAATTATGATTTAAATAATGTTTTCTTGTAAGATATAAAAATGGTTTAATTTGAACTCGAACTCGATGGGGTTATCTCAAAAAATGCGATTTCAACCTAAAATAGCTATAGATAACCGCCATTTTGGAAATAAAATTATGATTTAAATGATGTTTTCTTATAAGATATAAAAAATGGTTTAATTTGAGCCCAAACTCGATGGTGTTATCTCAAAAAATGTGATTTCAACATAAAATAGATGTAGATAACCGCCATTTTGGAAATAAAATTGTGATTTAAATGATGTTTTCTTGTAAGATATAAAAAATGGTTTAATTTGAGCTCAAACTCGATGAGGTTATCTCAAAAAATGCGATTTCAACATAAAATAGATATAGATAACCGCCATTTTGGAAATAAAATTAAGATTTAAATGATGTTTTCTTGTAAAAAATTAAAAATGATTTAATTTGAGCCCAACCTCGACGGGGTTATCTAAAAAAATACGATTTGAACCTAACTAGATAAATTTTATAGATAACCGCCATTTTGGAAATAAAATTAAGATAACCTGGTCGTGTTGGTACTCGTTTTAAAGGATTTTTAATCGCGATTACGATTTNATTTAAATGATGTTTTCTTGAAAGACATAAAAAATGATTTAATTTGAGCTCAAACTCGATGGGGTTATCTCAAAAAATGCGATTTCAACCTAAAATAGATATAGATAACCGTCTTTTTGGAAATAAAAATACGATTTGAATAATGTTTTCTTGTAATATATAAAAAATGGTTTAATTTGAGCCCAAACTCGATGGGGTTATCAAAAAAATGCGATTTCGAAATAAAATAGATGTAGATAACCGCCATTTTGGAAATAAAATTATGATTTAAATGATGTTTTCTTGTAAAATATAAAAAATGGTTTAAATTGAGCCCAAACTCGATGGGGTTATCTCAAAAAAATGCGATTTTAACCTAAAATAGATATAGATAACCGCCATTTTGGAAATAAAAATACGATTTAAATAATGTTTTCTTGAAAGACATAAAAAATGATTTAATTTGAGCTCAAACTTGATGGGGTTATCTCAAAAAATTCGATTTCAACATAAAATAGATATAGATAACCGCCATTTTGGAAATAAAATTAAGATAACCTGGTCGTGTTGGTACTCGTTTTAAAGGGTTTTTAATCGCGAATATGATTTTTTAAATTAAATTTTATAAAAATGATCATTTTGCAACTCAACCTAATCGAACCTAACCTAATTTTATTAAACAAAAATTTTTTCGTTGTTGTTTTCCTCTAAGGAATTAAAAATGATTTAATTTGAGCCCAAACTCGATGGGGTTATCTCAAAAAATACGATTTGAACCTAACTAGATAAATTTTATAGATAACCGCCATTTTGGTAATAAAATTAAGATAACCTGGTAGTGTTGGTACTCGTTTTAAGGGGTTTTTAATCGCGAATATGATTTTTTAAATTAAATTTTATAAAAATGATCATTTTGCAACTCAACCTAATCGAACCTAACCTAATTTTATTAAAAAAATTTTTTTTCGTTGTAGTTTTCCTCTAAGGAATTAAAAATGATTTAATTTGAGCCCAAACTCGATGGGGTTATCTCAAAAAATACGATTTGAACCGAACTAGATAAATTTTATAGATAACCGCCATTTTGGAAATAAAATTAAGATAATCCGGTCGTGTTGGTACTCGTTTTAAAGTATTTTTAATCGCGATTACGATTTTTTAAATTAACTTTAAAAAAATGATCATTTTGCGACTCAACCTAATCGAACCTAACCTAATTTTATTAAAAAAAATTTTTTTCGTTGTAGTTTTCCTCTAAGGAATTAAAAATGATTTAATTTGAGCCCAAACTCGATGGGGTTATCACAAAAAATACGATTTGAACCTAACTAGATAAATTTTACAGATAACCGCCATTTTGGAAATAAAATTAAGATAACCTGGTCGTGTTTGTACTCGTTTTAAAGGGTTTTTAATCGCGAATATGATTTTTTAAATTAACTTTACAAAAATGATCATTTTGTGACTCAACCTAATCGAACCTAACCTAATTTTATTAAACAAAAATTTTTTCGTTGTTGTTTTCCTCTAAGGAATTAAAAATGATTTAATTTGACCCCAAACTCGACGGGGTTATCTCAAAACATACGATTTGAACCTAACTAGATAAATTTTATAGATAACCGCCATTTTGGAAATAAAATTAAGATAACCTGGTCGTGTTGGTACTCGTTTTAAAGGATTTTTANAACCGCCATTTTGGAAATAAAATTATGATTTAAATGATGTTTTCTTGAAAGACATAAAAAATGATTTAATTTGAGCTCAAACTCGATGGGGTTATCTCAAAAAATGCGATTTCAACCTAAAATAGATATAGATAACCGTCTTTTTGGAAATAAAAATACGATTTGAATAATGTTTTCTTGTAATATATAAAAAATGGTTTAATTTGAGCCCAAACTCGATGGGGTTATCAAAAAAATGCGATTTCGAAATAAAATAGATGTAGATAACCGCCATTTTGGAAATAAAATTATGATTTAAATGATGTTTTCTTGTAAAATATAAAAAATGGTTTAAATTGAGCCCAAACTCGATGGGGTTATCTCAAAAAAATGCGATTTTAACCTAAAATAGATATAGATAACCGCCATTTTGGAAATAAAAATACGATTTAAATAATGTTTTCTTGAAAGACATAAAAAATGATTTAATTTGAGCTCAAACTTGATGGGGTTATCTCAAAAAATTCGATTTCAACATAAAATAGATATAGATAACCGCCATTTTGGAAATAAAATTAAGATTTAAATGATGTTTTCTTGTATGATAGAAAAATCATTTCATTTGAGCCCAAACTCGATGGGGTTATCTCAAAAAATACAATTTGAACCTAACTAGATAAATTTTATAGACAACCGCCATTTTGGAAATAAAATTAAGATAACCTGGTCGTGTTGGTACTCGTTTTAAAGGATTTTTAATTACGATTACGATTTTTTAAATTAAACTCTATAAAAATGATCATTTTGCAACTCAACCTAATCGAACCTAACCTAATTTTATTAAACAAAAATTTTTTGGTTGTTGTTTTTCTCTAAGGAATTAAAAATGATTTAATTTGACCCCAAACTCGACGGGGTTATCTCAAAAAATACGATTTGAACCTAACTAGATAAATTTTATAGATAACCGCCATTTTGGAAATAAAATTAAGATAACCTGGTCGTGTTGGTACTCGTTTTAAAGGATTTTTAATCGCCATTACGATTTTTTAAATTAAATTTTATAAAAATGATTATTTTGCAACTCAACCTAATCGAACCTAATCTAATCTTATTAAACAAAAATTTTTTCGTTGTTGTTTTCCTCTAAGGAATTAAAAATGATTTAATTTGACCCCAAACTCGATGGGGTTATCTCAAAAAATACGATTTGAACCTAACTAGATAAATTTTATAGATAACCGCCATTTTGGAAATAAAATTAAGATAACCTGGTCGTGTTGGTACTCGTTTTAAAGGATTTTTAATCACCATTACGATTTTTTAAATTAAATTTTATAAAAATGATTATTTTGCAACTCAACCTAATCGAACCTAATCTAATCTTATTAAACAAAAATTTTTTCGTTGTTGTTTTCCTCTAAGGAATTAAAAATGATTTAATTTGACCCCAAACTCGATGGGGTTATCTCAAAAAATACGATTTGAACCTAACTAGATAAATTTTATAGATAACCGCCATTTTGGAAATAAAATTAAGATAACCTGGTCGTGTTGGTACTCATTTTAAAGGATTTTTAATCCCGATTACGATTTTTTAAATTAACTTTATAAAAACGATCATTTTACGACTCAACCTAATCGAACCTAACTTAATTTTATGAAACTAAAAATATTTTCGTTGATGTTTTTTTCTATTAAATTAAAAATCATTCAATTTGAGCCCAAACTCGATGGAGTTATCTCAAAAACTACGATTTGAACCTAATAGATATAAGTATATAGATAACCGCCATTTTGAAAAAAAAATTGAGATAACCTAGTCGTGTTGGTACTCGTTTTAAAGGATTTTTAATCGCGATTACGATTCTTTAAATTAAATTTTATAAAAGCGATCATTTTGCAAATAATTAATTAAATTCTTTGTGTTAAAGAAGATAAACGTAATTTTTTTTGACGTTTCCTGTGATATTTTTTTTTAATTCTTTACTTACTTGTTTAAAAGTCGATCTTTTTTCTTCCCGAACATTACCGATTCTCCCATCCATTTTATTTCTTATACCTTACTAAATATGTACTCTTAGTTTTATAATATTTCCCAACAAATTACACAACGATTAAAAAATCGCGACGTTTTATGACATCCGATTCATTCCAAGAACAAAAAGATAACTAAAGCAATAGGATTGTCCTATATCCAGCAATTAAAAACGATCAAAAACAACGAAAACACTTAAAAGATGAGTATTAATCGCGGTTAATCCTGTCTTTTGCTTCTTTATTAATACAAATTTAAAAAAAGCACTTAAAATGAAGGTTGAGAGAGCTATTTATCTATACACTATTTAAAATGAAATGTTTTTAGTTCTACTCGGTTCATATTCGAGATCACATTTTTTTTATCAAACACTCGTTTCAAAATTAGATTAACATCATAAACAACGCTTTGCTAAGGATGTGTCTCATAATAATTAACGATTTATTTAAGATATTAACGAATTGAATCTATTTTATCTCTTTATTGGTTATCATTTAATAGTTTTGAAATAAAATCAATTGAAATTTCCAAAAAAATTTTGAATTGTAACTTTATAGATATAGACATTGTTGTTAATTTTAAAGTTGTCACGTGTTTTTTGATTGCCTCTTTATTAAATTATTTATTTAAACGAGGATTTATTTAAATCCCGGTGACTTACACCTTGAGAATTGAATTGATAAGACTTTTTTTCTGATTACAAATTACTTTTGATAAAATTTTTTCGGTTCGTTGTGAAATTTTCCTTTCAACTAATTATGATGTACTTTCGATCGCAAAAACAGATTCGGTTCGAACTCGAATTGCTGTTTGTTTTTAGATTTAGAGAGTTTCAGAAGTCGATTGTGAATTATTATTGTGCAACGTTTAAAAATAGAAAATTATTGTTGAATTATCTGGTGTTGAATAGCAACAACTTATAAGTATTGAAATATTTTCGTTTTAACGTTTTTGCAAGGACGATTTTTTTTTTTAAATTATAATATTCATAATATCTCCATTATATAATAATATATTCTGTGGATTTGACTTAACCTCACTTTTAAAATTATTTTGCCAACCTAACTCAATATTAGATTTAAAATACGACTCCAAAAAGAGATTTAATTGATTTTGATTATAAATAAAGTTTCGTAAATTTGTTCGTTTTAACAAACAAATTTGTTTATTAAATAAAAAACCTGTCAGAGAAATGTCAATAATGAACTGTCAAAAAGGTTAGGTCAAAATATCACCAATATATAATAATATATTCTGTGGATTTAACTTAACCTCACTTTTAAAATTATTTTGCCAACCTAACTCAATATTAGATTTAAAATTCGACTCCAAAACGAGATCTAATTGATTTTGATTATAAATAAAGTTTCGTAAATTTGTTCATTTTAATAAACAAATTTGTTAATCAAATAAAGAACCTGTCAGAGAAATGTCAATAATGAACTGTCAAAAAGGTTAGGTCAAAATATCACCAAGATATAATAATATATTCTGTGGATTTGACTTAACCTCACTTTTAAAATTATTTTGCCAATCTAACTCAATATTAGATTTAAAATTCGACTCCAAAAAGAGATCTAATTGATTTTGATTATAAATAAAGTTTCATAAATTTGTTCGTTTTAATAAAGTTCATTCTTAAGAACTGTCAAAAAGATTAGGTCAAAATATCACCAAGACATAATAATATATTCTGTGGATTTGACTTAACCTCAACTTTTAAAGTAATCTTGGAAATTTAGCTCAACATTAAATTGCAAATTCAACTCCACCAAGAGATCTAATTGATTTAGATTATAAATAAAGTTTTGTACAAATTTGCTTATTTTAATAAACAAATTTAAATAAAAAAATTTGTTAATCAAATAAATAAAATAGGACAATTTCAATTTTTAAGGTTGGTCATCCTACCTAGGAATGTCAGTAACAAACTGTCAAAGAGATTATGATTTAACCTCACTTTTAAAATTATTTTGAAGCGAAAAAAATGTAGTGGTATTAAAAAATAAAGAAAAATCCTTTATTTTGTATTAAATTACCTTAATCTTATCCCGAATTAATCATTTCTTTGTCTCCGTACATCCTTGTAATGGGTATGTTCCNGGACGAATTTTTTTTTAAAATTATAATATTCAAAATATCTCCATTATATAATAATATATTCTGTGGATTTGACTTAACCTCACTTTTAAAATTATTTTTCCAACCCAACTCAATATTAGATTTAAAATTCAACTCCAAAAAGAAATATAATTGATTTTGATTATAAATAAAGTTTCGTAAATTTGTTCATTTTAATAAACAAATTTGTTAATTAAATAAAGAACCTGTCAGAAAAAATGTCAATAATGAACTGTCAAAAAGGTTAGGTTAAAATATCACCAATATATAATAATATATTCTGTGGATTTAACTTAACCTCACTTTTAAAATTATTTTGCCAACCTAACTCAATATTAGATTTAAATTTCGACTCCTAAACGAGATCTAATTGATTTTGATTATAAATAAAGTATAGTAAATTTGTTCATTTTAATAAACAAATTAGTTTATTAAATAAAGAACCTGTCAGAGAAATGTCAATAATGAACTGTCAAAAAGGTTAGGTCAAAATATCACCAATATATAATAATATATTCTGTGGATTTGACTTAACCTCACTTTTAAAATTATTTTGCCAACCTAACTCAATATTAGATTTAAATTTCGACTCCAAAAAGAGATCTAATTGATTTTGATTATAAATAAAGTATAGTAAATTTGTTCATTTTAATAAACAAATTAGTTTATTAAATAAAGAACCTGTCAGAGAAATGTCAATAATGAACTGTCAAAAAGGTTAGGTCAAAATATCACCAATATATAATAATATATTCTGTGGATTTGACTTAACCTCACTTTTAAAATTATTTTGCCAACCTAATTCAATATTAGATTTAAATTCGACTCCAAAAAGAGATTTAATTGATTTTGATTATAAATAAAGTTTCGTAAATTTGTTAATTAAATAAAGAACCTGTCAGAAAAAATGTCAATAATGAACTGTCAAAAAGGTTAGGTTAAAATATCACCAATATATAGGTAGTAATATATTCTGTGGATTTAACTTAACCTCACTTTTAAAATTATTTTGCCAACCTAACTCAATATTAGATTTAAAATTCGATTCCAAAACGAGATCTAATTGATTTTGATTATAATAATAAACTTTCGTAAATTTGTTCGTTTTAATAAAGTTCATTCTTAAGAACTGTCAAAAAGGTTAGGTCAAAATATCACCAATATATAATAATATATTCTGTGGATTTGATTTAACCTCACTTTTAAAATTATTTTGCCAACCTAACTCAATATTAGATTTAAATTTGACTTCAAAAAGAGATCTAATTGATTTAGATTATAAATAAAGTTTCGTAAATTTGTTCATTTTAATAAACAAATTTGTTTATTAAATAAAGAACCTGTCAGAGAAATGTCAATAATGAACTGTCAAAAAGGTTAGGTCAAAATATCACCAATATATAATAATATATTCTGTGGACTTAACCTCACTTTTAAAATTATTTTGCCAACCTAACTCAATATTAGATTTAAAATTTGACTCCTATTTTGATTATAAATAAAGTTTCGTAAATTTGTTCGTTTTAATAAAGTTCATTCTTAAGAACTGTCAAAAAGGTTAGGTCAAAATATCACCAAGATATAAAAATCTATTCTGTGGATTTGACTTAACCTCAACTTTTAAAGGAATCTTGGAAATTTAACTCAACATTAAATTGCAAATTCAACTCCACCAAGCGATCTAATTGATTTAGATTATAAATAGAGTTTTACAAATTTGTTTGTTTTAATAAACAAATTAAAAAAATTTAAAATTTATTAATCAAATAAATAAAATAGGGCAATTTCAATTTTTAAGGTTGGTCATCCTATCCAGGAATGTCAATAACAAACTGTCAAAGAGATTGTTTTAACCTCACTTTTAAAATTATTTTGAAGCGAAAAAAATGTAGTGGTATTAAAAAATAAAGAAAAATCCTTTATTTTGTATTAAATTACCTTAATCTTATCCCGAATTAATCATTTCTTTGTCTCCGTACATCCTTGTAATGGGTATGTTCCGAGTATTCAGCGATAATTTCCCATTGATTAAGTTCTTTAGCGCATCTTTGTCAATAATTTTCCCACAAACACACTTTTTTTTGGGTGTTGAAACTTAATTCGTAAGCCGATTGAGGTTTCACAAGTTGTTGGATGTTCCGACATATTTCATTAAGGGCCTAAAACAAAAAAATTAATTAATTTCAATTAATCAAATAATCTAATTCATTAAAATTAATAAAATCAATAGACTTACTAACCCTTTGCCTTAATAAATCGCTTTTATTTAAAGTTTAAAACATTTGTTGGTGTAAAAAGTTAGGTTATGTTGTCGAAATCTTCGCCGATTAATTTGCGGGGGAAATATCCCTTAATAAAAGTTAAAATCACTTGAAACACATGGTTTGGGTGTTCAAAAAGGTGTATTGATGGTTCTTTTAGGTTCAAATACATTTTTTTCTTGTAAATTTGTTGATTTTAAGAAGCAATTAAGCGGGCACACGAACCATGGGGGGGGATCTCAAATGAATGAAAATTGTAACCGTCGTCAACGCCATCCGATGTCACCGTCGATAACTAATTCTACACAAATTCAAATTTAAACAACCTTTAAGGTGGCTTATATTTCATTTCTTTTTTTTGTATTCATCTTTGATTAATTAAGTCAAATTAAGTGATGTCAAATATAAATGATATTGATAAATCAGTTAATTTTTTTAATAAATGTAATTTATGAGTGTAATTTTGTAATTAAGTGTAAAAAAGTGTAAAAAACATTTAAAATTTTTTAAATGATAAAAATGTCGGTTATTAATCCTTGCTGTGTACCATCTTGCGATGATAGACATTAAAAGGTAAATTATAAAAATTATTAATTAATAGAGCATAATTACTTTCATTCTG